CAGAGGGCACATTTCGGAGATACAAGGTTTCCACATTCTCTGTGTTGGAGACGACGAGCAGGTTCAGCTTGACTGTAAAATACTCCAGTAATCCATAGTCATGATTATTCATGAGCCACACTGTGTGTGTGTGTGTGTGTGTGTGTGGGGGGGGGGGGGGCAGCCTGTAGTCCCTCCTCTCCCTGCACCTCTCCTCTATATATACGCTGTGTGAGCTGGAGAGAGGCAGCTCTGCACTGGCTGCACTGAACCGACCAGACACAGTGTGTGCAGCACAGAGGGAGAGCGATCAAGAGACATAAACACTGACTGACACTAACCTGGATCAGACTCGTTTCTTGTTCTTGTTTAAATCTGAAGGTGCAGAGGCACAGACAGAGAACACTCAGACAAGTAAACCAGGTGAACCTGATGATGGACGACTACACCCTCCCCTTCTGGATCTACCTGTGTGTTCTTACTGTGTTTGTTGGTGGTGCTATGAAGATGATTTTGGCGTCCCACCTGAGCACCGCCTCTACCCTGGTGGCCTGGCTGGGAGCCACTGTGCTGGTGGAGCGTCTGTGGGCGTTCTGTCTGCCGGCCATGCTGCTGCTGGTGCTGCTTGGCCTCACCTGTTGCTTCTACAATGCCACCAGGAGTGCCCCCCTGCCCACCACCCTTCCTGCCCATGGCAAGGCTGTCTTCATCACAGGTAAGAAGAGGCTCTGCCGTCTCACTCAGGTGTGTGTTGTTAGCAAAAATCAGTTGTTTGCACTTTTATTCTAGGATTTTTGTGCTTTGAAGAAATTGTGCTTTGTATACAAACCGGGCATGCCTGGCTTCAGCTCAGTGTTTTATGTATTTGTTAGATTTTGATTAATGAGTGTCTGGGGTCTGGAACATGGTTTACAGTCATGCAGTGACACGAAATCCTTCTGAAGACATGAAAAGCACCACAGATGGAGATGCAAGGAGATTCCAGGTTTATATGTTATCTTTGTGGGAAAACCTGAATTTCCTGAAATCTAAATCATCCTGTTTTGACAAAACTATCATCACCAGTGCTTATAAGAAAAACATGTTTGACATTTATTCTAAAATCAGAGCATGCTTCATATAATTGTGTCAAAACTCACAGAGCATTAGCTTAAATTCCAGCAGAAATCCCAAATCTTTTCAGGAATTTTTTGGAACTGTCAAAAATGAAGAGGACCTGCATAACTCTCCAGTCAGCTGGTGTGTGCTTCTGGGGGAACAAGCGTAAAACAGAAGTGTTGTAATCTTTAGGAGTCAGTGCTCAGAGACGTGGTCATACTGCCATGAGCCTGGTGTCTTTGCTCGGATGAGGGAGGGGATCTGATCCCACAGGACTGAGCAAGAGCAGTGTGGGTTTGGCTTCTGTTTGTGAGTCGTGGCGATTAAACTTCATGAACAATAGATGCCTGCAGGGGGATAGGAGGGGGTCGGATTCCTTTTTACAATAAAAGTTAAAGAGTGGAGGGAAACATCAGAAGTGTGTATCTGAGTGCTGTGGAAATGAACCTGATTAGATTGATTGGTTTTTGGATCTGTGTGTGTGTGTGTGTGTGTGTGTGTGTGTGTGCATGCGTGCGTGCATGTGTGTGTGTGTGGATTGGCCTCCTTGCGCATGCAAACCTAATCACATCTTTGTTGCCTGACATCCAGATGGCCCGGGGCTCTTTGTGCCATAGTTAATGAGATAATCAGATCTGCAGATTAGTGCAGCTGTTTAATAACAGCATGCTCTGCCGTGCAACTGTTCTCTCATGTAATCTGCACAGGCACATGCTTATAGCGGAACCCTTCCCAGACTGGTCCTTGGGTAACCTGAGGGACAGAAAACAGCTGTCACCATGGAGATGGTCAGACGCTGCGCAGGTTGTGTTCAATCACCTGCTGTTTCTCTATAAAGGTGGAACGTTCATAAAATGACAAAGGCTATGAAAGAATAACAACAAGACAAAACAGTAAATGAGATTGAGGAGATGTTGATCATGGTATTGGGGGAGCTGAAGCAGGAGACTCGTGGCTTTAGGGCAGCAACTACTCAGTGTTTCCTATTAATCTGTGCATTGTTTTTGTCTGTGAAACAACAGATAACAGTGGAAATGCTCACAAAGCCACAGGTTCCATAATCAGAGGCCTCATTCTGTTCGACTAACAGTCTGAAACTCAGAGAGGTTCAGTTTACCGTTGATATATGAACAAGTAAAGCATCAAATTCTCACATTTAAGAGCCAACAAATGTTTGAGAATTCTGCTTGGAAATGATGAAAACAGATGCACCTGCTTGTAGAGTTTGTTATTCGGACAATTTTGTGACTTTTCTGAATCCAGGCAGATGAATCAGTGAAAATAACAGTGTGTAATAAGTTTTAGTATCTGATGAAGTAGACAAAGTTTAACATAATTTAAATCAATTCAATTCAGATTTATATAGCACCAAATCACAACAAAAGTCATCTCAGGACACTTTACAAAGTCAGGTCTAGACTTTACTATTATTATTATTGTTATTATTATTATTATTATTATTACAGAGGAAAAACCCAACAACCCCCCTGAGCAGCACTTGGCGAAAACTCCCCTTAAACAGACCTCAGCTCTTGGTGGGCGTCCTTCTGCCTCGACCAGTTGGGGTGAGTGGATAGAGGAGACAGAAAAGAAAAGCAACAAGACACAACAAACAGTCAAACACTGGGCAGGTTGACGTGGCCAGTGACTGCTCATCAGAAGCGTAGAGCTTCAGAGCCAGGGGTACCTGCAGAAAGGTACAGGGAGAGAGGAGACACACAGTTAGTGATGGGTAGTGGTGGCGTATAGATGGAGAGGAGAGGAGAGGGGAGGGGAGTAAAGGTTAGGCGAGGCGAGGAGAGAAACTCAGAGCATCATGCACTCTGAGAGCGAAGTGCTCTGTTGGGATGATAAGGCTCTATGAGGTCTTTAAGATACGATGGAGCCTTGTCATTAAGGGCTTTGTATGTTAGGAGAAGGATTTAAAATTCCATTCTGGATTTTACAGGGAGCCAGTGGAGAGAAGCTAATATGGGAGAGATATGATCTCTCTTGCTAGTTCCTGTCAGTTCCTGTCAGAAGCGCTGGGCGACGGCTAGCTCGGGCTGAGCTATGCCTAGGAGGGCCCATACCAGCTAAATGGGCCTGGCTAGCTGAGGTGTTTTCTATGGTGTGGAGCCATGCTTCTAGTTCGGTGACCCTGGCCTCCAGTGCTGCTAGCATGTAACATTTATTACAAGTACCATTATCGCTAAAGGAGACAGATGAATAACTAAACATGCAACACTCCAAGCAAGAGGAAGAAGAGGGGGAAGCCTTTGCTCTCAACTAAGTTACTAGCTTAGCTGACCTAAAGTAGCAAGTTAAATTAGGAAACTAAATTCTGTAAGACAGTTGTTTAAGTAGTGCTAGTGTATGCTGTCACTCAGAACATTATCTGATGTTCAGATAAACCTAGAAACCAGTGAGCTTAATCTGTAAATTATCTGGTAGCAAGCACAACATGGTGCAGGCACAGTAAAAAAAAGTGAATGTGATTACCACAGGAACAGGAAACAATGCACGGTTCACAGCATTAGGCAACATAAGACATCAACAAACCCAGAGAAGGCACAGACTATGTAGTTTACTGAAGAATTAGACACAGTTCACACTCTGCTCTGACACTGTGCCACATGCCTGGCTTCACAGAGTTGTAGTGTGAGTTGAAATTTTCCCGAGGGCTACAAGGCTCAGGGCGCCCTGCCTGACACATACTTGCTGGATTTACTGTGTGAATGTCAACAGTTGTGTGGCTGATATTTGTGTAACCTAGATTTCATTCCTCTTGTGTGTGCGGTGCTGGTGGAGATGTGGACCACACCTTAGTTCAAAGTCTGAAAACGTCTGATACAGGAGCTCAGCTGCTGCAGCTGGTTTGAGAGATAGAAAGACACCTGAACCTGTTCACAGCTGAGCTAACATGTGTTACTTGATTTTGTTAATGACCAAACAATGCTCATACTCTACAGTACAGCTTATTGCCAATCAGCAAAATCAGGAGCATCCTGTCTCAAAGTGATGCTGAAAAACTGTTCCATGCATTTGTTACTTCCAGGCTGGACTACTGTAACTTTTTACTATCAGGACGTCCCAGTAAGTCCCTAAAAACCCTCCAGTTAATCCAAAATGTTGCAGCCAGAGTACTGACAGGAACTAGCAAGAGAGATCAGAGAAGTGGTGCCTTATCAATATCTTATCAGTGTTTTTGGCCAAGACTGTATTTGTCAAGTCATTAATATGCTGGTACACAACATAACAGTAAAACGTTCACACAGAACAGATTTCATTTGTTTTCCATGAAAATCTTTGTTGTCATAGTCCACCTGTAGTGAAACGAGCTCAGAGGTCAGCTCAGAAACATGGAGGTGTGGTTTAACACAAACAGTTCACAGGGACTGCAGACATTGAACTAGAACCACCGTGCTTTTGTTGTCTAAACCAAAGATGGAGCTGTGGAAGTGGACTTCGGTCTCTGTAGTCGGCTCTGAAGTTTGAACATCCACCCAACCCCCTCCCTACAGCAAAGTCCTTTAACATGTAGAGACATGTCAGATTAGAACCGTGCGGCGAATGTCAGTGTCCGTCTGTCCACTGTCACATTCGCTGAGCCATCATCGGGTGCTGCTGTTAAAGCTTCACTTCACTAAATATTCAGTACATTGGCAGTGCAGCTAACGATTATTAACTCATCAAGTAATCAGTTGTTTCGTCTGACCCACAGTCCATTTTCTCCTGAAAAATAACTTTAATTTTGGTCTAATCAACAAATCGATCTTTTCAGCTCTACTGTATGTAATGAATTGTATGATAGTCTGGATGTTCAGTTGATTTGACTGCTAACCACTACAAACTGTGAATTGCCATTGTAAATGTAGCAACTGAACACTGTTTCTATTTGACCAATTACACACAATAGGTGTTTCCAGAAACCAGGTGAGGACATTATTGTGAACCCATTAAGTATGGTGTCACCCACATTTCTCCAGCAGCTACGTCAGGAAAAACTGTATTCAGATGTAGGTGTTGGTGCCATGCCAAGGTAATCCCAGATCAGATCAGCATACACTGCAGACTAAGCTGCCTATTGGCTCCAGGAGGTCATCTGGAGTCTTGGCAACACAGTTCAAAATCCCCTCCATGTCCGAACACAAGCACAAACCGCTGGGTTTTTTGACAACAGCTTCTTCGTCATCAGACAAAGGAGAAAACAATATGCACTGAATAAGACCGTCAAAATAATACTGTACTAATGCACGGTGTATTCCTTGTGCATTATTGAATACCGGGGCAGGAACCACCCACAATGCCTCTGTGGACCTTCAGGGCCATTGATTCTTGGTTGAAAATCTCTGTACTAAGGTTGTGTGGCTCATTTTGTGGTGCTAAATAATGAAACTGCATGTTCATATTTACTAAAGAGTTGCAATCAGGTTTTGCACTGGCAAAAAAGAAGAAAAGCGGCACTGCAGGAATTTGTGTTTAATCTCATGCAATATGTCTTTGACGGTGTTTCACAGTGGTGTTGATTCACCTGCGTGATCACTCTGCAGGCTGCTGTTCTGTGCCATACTGACTCAGTGGTGTGATATTTGTTGTTTAGTAACCGAGGTGATTGTGGGAATGTGATTATTATCT